GTGTGTGAAGTGGTGAAGTTATTTTTTAAAAAAAGTAATAAATTACTAATTACTGATTACTTCTTCAAAAAAGTAATCCTCTTACTTTACTGATTACTTATTTTCAACAGTAAATAGTTACTTTTTAAAAACATGATACACAACCTGAATAAGTAATAAAGCAATAGACCTTTCAGCCCAATTCTATTTTTATGCATAATCCATCATATAAAATCAAATCAAATGGAAAGCCTCTTTTTAAAAATCGTTTTATAAGTTGTAATCTTTTAATTTTATGCACATTGCATTAAGCAAAGATTTAATTATATGTAACACTGTGTTTGACTTGAAGAAATTTTTTAACATTTAAACCTATGTTCTACATAATCCAGCACATAAAATATAACAATGTTTTGTGTTTACACTTATTTTTTAAAATAGATGCAAGTAAAACACAACAAAAGAATAAATAAAATCAAAGATTCAGCGACACTAAGTCCTGTCGCTCTTAAATCTATTGCCACCTGTTTAGCAGGAGTGGGGCGGTGGAGTTTTGTCATGTCATTGGTCATGTAAGTGGGGGGATCGAGACATTTCTCTGTGAATTTCACATTCCCGTGGCAGCTTGCTAGGTGTTTGCTCAGATTTGAAGCTTAATTTTTCGTTGTAGAAAGAAGTTTTCTTACCAAGCAGAGTGTACAGCGCACGCTAATGTTTTTGTCACTTTCTACGGAATCAAACTCAAAGTAATGTAAATGGCCTGTATTTATATAGCGCTTTAATAGTCCCTAAGGACCCCAAATGTAAGTATGTCCATGCTTTAAATGCTGCATGGTCGTACTCTCTCCCGCACTCCATATTATCCATTTTTGATCTACACACGTCTGTTGCTGTCACGGACATCACACGCTCATACGGCATTGTCATGAGACACTCTCACAAACAAAATCACAATGGTTTAGTATCGCATTAACACAGCGTGCTTGTGGGAAAGTAACAGTAATCAAATTACTTGTTTTGCAATAGTATTCCCTTACATTACTTGTTGCTTGAAAAAAGTAATCGGATTACGTGTTACAGCCCATCTCTGCTGCTGGGAACTATAAATGTATCAAATATAGCAGTCTGGGAACCCAGCCAGCTAATGATGTCTCTGATGTCTTTATGATATAATCATAAGAAGGTATTTATTAATATAGATTATGAAGATTAGAGTAAAAAGAGTATTTTTAATAGAGAAACTGTATTAATATTATGGTTAGGTTTAGGGTACATATACAGGTTTTCATAACAAAAAATGGCTGAAAGAAAAGGAAATGCTTTGACAAACTTTCATCCTGGCCAGGGTTTTCTTTGTGCAAAGGCTTTGTACAGCTGGTTTATGCTGCTACTTTTGTTCTGAGGTTTACTGCTGTCCTTGGATTTAGCCAACTTAAATCAACAAAATAAAAGTAGATTTTATATGAGCTTTGAGGGCTGCCTTTAAACCCCTAGCCACACTATACAGAATAAAGCTGGAATGTGGGAAGTGAAAGTGTATTCTCATCTTAAATTTAAATTGAGTACTCTTCACCTATGTTAACCACAGCCTGCTCTGTCTCATTGGTTTAAACTCTGAAGAATGGCTTAGTCTTTACTATGGTGTACTAAATTACCTAATATTCTCATAGAATACACATTTTGAATGACAGAAGATGATTCTATATTTATTTGCTTTTCAAGACTTTATAAACCAGTGATGTCAAACATAAGGCCCAGGGGCCAGAAACAGTCTGGCAAAGACTCCAATCCAGCCCACCACACAACTTTGGAAAACGTGACAGAGGACTTGCATTTTGGACTTTTAAATGTATTTTCTTGCCCTGCTAGACCTCAGTGCAGCATTCCATAACATTGACCATAACATTTTATTATAATGATACTTTTAACCTTATAAAGGGAGCTTACGCAGGGGAGAGCAGTGTGTCATGATTTATGAGCTGAATCATTGTTCTTTTGCAAAATTCTGAGCACATTTTAATGAACACCAACACAACATTGGTGTGATTTTAACTACCCACAATAATTAGTTAATAAAGTTTAGTTAACACAGTTTTCTTATTTATATATACTGAGTTTTCTTAGAGACCTGGAATGTAAACGTGCCTGTGTTTAAAGGACTTTGGTTAAGCTTCCATCCATCTGTTTTCTTCTGGTTATCCAGGGTTGGGCCTGTGGGGGCAGCGGCCTTAGTAGAGAAGCCTAGATCTCCCTCTCCCCAGCCACCTCCTCCAGCTTCTCTGGGAAAACACCAAGGCTCTCCCAGGCCAGCTGAGAGATATAATCTCTCCAGTGTGTCCTAGGCCTGCCTGGGGCCTCCTCTTGGTGGGACATGCCCAGAACACCTCATCCAGGAGGCATTTTAATCAGATGCCCAACCTGTTTGTACACACCTGTGTACAAACAGGTACTCCCAGACACAGACTATGCAAACGCCAAAAACGCAGTCAAGCACTGTCAGAAACATGCCAAATCCTAACTGTTTAGAAGTGTTGGCCAATCAGAAGTCTAGAAGCCTGGCTGGAAAAAATGTAAACAGGGTTTTATGCAAACCTTAAATACTTCTGAATTTTGTTTTTCTGGAAAGGCACCTAATTTTGTGTTACTTTGAAGTGCCTTCATCATTTCAAATGTTAATAACTAAAGACAGCATTTTGCTGTTGTGCAGACTCACAACTTAGGAATGAACAAAATGCATACAGCATAAATAACTTTAATTTAAAAAAAAAATTCAATACCGACAACAACATTTGCATCAGGATTTGGGTTGTGAGAGCGTTTGTGTTGAATGTAGAAGTTCACTGTGACGCCTCTGTCTTTCTAAATGGAGGGACAGCAACTGCATGTGTACATGTAAAGCTGGACTTACACTGTGCGATTTTTGGCCCATTTTGAGACAATTTTTCAGTCATGCGACCATTTTGGGGATCGGCCAGAGTTTCACCTTAATCGTGTGTCGTGCATTGTGTAGTATACATGGGGTAACGAAGAGCGATTAACACCTCACAACCAGCTCCCAATCAGCAATCGTATGATCACAAGAAAATGAAACCTGTTTGAAATCCTGGTCGCCCCTCGTGAAGCAATGCCACGAGCCGATTTAACACAACCTCTCACACTGCACATGCGCAAACACAGAAATGGAAGTCAAAAAGACAGAGTACCATGGCAGTGCAGCGTGTGATCTGGACACAAGAGATGGACCAAAATTATCACGACCACAACAAATAGTTGGATTTACATTGCTGCTCAATTGCAGCTGTCTGGTCAATGTTTTTACATTAGCAATTTAGCAAAGTTGATGGTGGTGGTGTGTGTGTCTGGGAGAGGGAAAGACATTTTGTGTTATAACTTTCATGTTAGGGACGGACAGTGTGAGCACTCAGGTCGCATCAGAGCATCGGACTGTATAGTCTGAGACCCTGCATCGAGACCAACAAACTTATAACCCCTGTGAGTCAATCGTACAGTTTGAGCAGGAGCTGAATAACGTGACTGAAAAAAAATCGCACAGTGCACGTCTCTTCTCTCCGTCTCTCTTCTTCTGTTTTTCTTTCCCTCGCCTTCTGTTGAGCATTGTCCAACTTCTTTTTTCTTCATCTCCCCCCCCCTCCCGTCTGTTTTGATTTTTATAAGTTAGAAGTAAAAGTAAATAAATAATTACATAACTAAATAAATAATAAAGATCGAAAAAACTATGACAATCAAGTGGATCAGTATGGCAAAAGCTGTAATGAACCACTTGGGAAAGTAAAGCTGTTGGAATTCTTCTTGGCCTTCAGACAATAATTCTGATTGCTACAGTGCCGGACAGAACAGGCGAAATAAATAAATAAATAAATAAATCTGTCTGTCTCTTCATTATTGAAGTGAATATTTTTGAAGTGTCACTATTGCTTGGAGGTAAATTACCAAAGGATTGTAGACAAGTCGGCATTTACCAGGAAAACTCCAGAAACCTTAGTAATTTGACTGTGGCCAAAGAAATGATATATCATATCATATGATATCATATATCACATATCACAAGTTTTTCAGTGCTGCACATTTTTGTGACTGATTACTGCGTTTTTGTGATGGAGGTCTTAGAGAACACAAACAGTAAAAAAAAGAAAAAATCTGAAACAAGCTGTTAAACCCAGGAAAGGAGTACAGTGTAGTACAAACAAACATCATGCAATATCAGAAGGGAGTCTAAAAGTTTTGGCCACTTAAGTTGATGATCATACAAGATATGGCAAGCCAATATGGTAATTGTGTACTGTATAACTTATAGATAAGAGTGTGTTATTTCCTCTTTCCAAAGTCACACTGTTCCATGTTAATGACTGGTTCTAATAGGGGCAGAGAAGGCCTCTGCTTGTTTGTTTTTTACTTGTATACATCCTTAACCTATAGCCATTATTTCTAAAAAAAAAAAAAAAAGTTCAATGTCATATGTTAATAATCAGTAATTAGTTTTAGTCATCCCAAAAATATTCTTCAATTTACTGTCAGTTTCAAATATGGGGTTAAGATTTGTCATCATTAAACCCTAAGGAGACAACACTTACCAGCAGTAAATGTTTATTTTTTATTCTTTATTTAAAACATAATTAAAAAATTGAATATCAAAACAGCTTTCCAGTAATGTTATGAAACATGAATGTCTAATTGGGTCAATTAAAGACAAATTTAAATATGGGGAAGTAATAAAAAGTGTGACCTGTGTGAACTGATGGTATACATTCTTGTGCCCTTCCTGTAATCATGTACCACAGCTACTATGCATGCAGTCCACCAAATATAAAGAGAGCCTGACCAGCCACTCAGCAGTCAGAGAAATCTAGATCCCTTGTGATAAAAGACTTTCATTTGGTATTTAGAGAGTGGAAAAGGTAACATGTTTTATAACAGATGAATCACAGTTATTCTGTAAATGTGCTGAGAATGGTCAATGTCTATTCCTGATGATGATTCTTTTTTCTTTTCTTTTTTTTAGGATGAAGTGTACTGTGGTATTTCTTGTGCTGTCGATGGTCATCCTCATGGCTGAACCTGGAGAGTGCATTTGGGACGCAGTTTTCCATGGAGGTATAGTTTTTGAAAAAGCGTGTTTTAGAAAAAAAGGTTGACATAAGCATACAATTGTGCTGAATGTACTACTAAATATTCACATTAGGAATAATTATTTTCTTCTCGTTTGTTTTATTTAGCCAAACATTTTCTTCATCGGTAAGAGAGTTTATAACAGTTATAATAATAATAATAATGATCAGTAGTAGTAGTAGTAGTAAAAGTGGTAGTGTAATGCAAAATTTCTGTTGTAATGTGTCTGCTTTGCTACCACTAGGCTCGTCAATGGACCAGGTGTCAAGGATGCTGTCAAGGATGTCCAACAAAAGCAAGAGCAGCAAAAGGATCAGGAGCTGGATAAGCGTGCAATCAGTTACCACCCTCGTCGACTTAATTTTGACTAGATTCAAGCTACCACCAAAACAAACCCCATTCTATTGAAAAGAAAAGCTTCTTCGTCTATAACAGAAATAAAATGCAGCTAATTATTTCTTGAAACTATACTTTGTGTTACTTTACTTGATAAAGTACTCTTAGTGTTTTTGTTTTTGTGAATTGTCTGTTCTTTAATAAATTCATATTATAGCATGCTGAAACCTTGGGTGTCTAGTCTTATGTAATACAAATATGATTGCAATACATCAAAAGGAGGCAGCTGATTATTACAAACTCGATCGCCCTTAGAAATTTGAAGGGCTAAAGGTAAGCAAATTTAGTATAGGGGACACTGTAACAGTCACAATGATGTGGTGTCTCTTCAATGCAGCCTAAGCCAAGGGTTTATGGTGTCATTAGTGTGCGGCACTGCCCTCTCTGTGAATTATGGGAACAATGTGCATGCACGCGAGTGCATGTAGAGAGATGGACTTTATATGTTTTACCTCTCCACAAACTTTTGCAACGTTACAGGTTGTATGAACACTGTGTGTCATGTTTGATAAGCAGCAGCCGTTCAACCGGACCTTGTATGGTTGATGAAGAGAAGGTACATAAAAGGATGCGCTGTGGAATTCCCAGTACCAGTGTGATCATGTATTCTTCGTACTATCCTGCTAAGGTTTCTACCGCCTCCTCTCAACCACTGAACACAACCCAACGTTACAACGCCTTGCAGACTCCACATTTTATGTCATCTTTCAGGTATTTGTGTGGAAAGTTTACTGTTATTGCTCTGGAAGTCATTATAGGGGGGGAAAAATGTCTGGCCTTCGGTTAGCCATTCTGTTCATTTTAGCCGCTATAGTGCCTGATTGGAGCTTCCATGTGGTACTGAGGCAGGTTATTGGCTGGTAGTTGGATGGGACCGGTCCCTTTCTGGGATCCTTGGGGATCAGGATCATCTGGCCTTCAGTTAGCCATTCCGGGTGTCTCTCATCGACTAGCAGCTGGTTCACTTGTGCTGCTAGAATCTCGTGGAGTGCAGTCAGCTTCTTCAGCCAATAGGTGTGAACCATTTTGGGGCCTGGTGCTGTCCAACTCTTCATACTGGAGACCCTTTCTTGGACGTCTGCCACTGTGATGGTTACTGGACCCTGTTCAGGGAAGTTGCTGTGGTCTGCTCTCTGATCCACAAGCCACTGAGGATTGCCGTTATGGGTTGTGCCCTTCTGCCATTGGCTCTTCCAGTATTGCTCCATTTCCAGCCTTGGTAGTGCTGTTCTCATATTGTTACCCTGCCACTGAGAGTACACCTTGACTGGTTCTGTGGAGAACAGCTGGTTTATTCACCTGCCTTCTATCTCTCTGGTGTACCTCTTCAAGTAGCTGGCCAAGGTTGTGAGTCTTTGCTTGGCAGTTTTCAAGGCCTCAGGTATGGACAGCTTGCTCTACTTCACGTTCCATGTCTAGTCACCCCGTCAAGATGCTCGTGCATCTCCTGTGTCTCCCCAGTCAGTCATGTCTCCACGTCTCAGTGTCAAGTCCGTGTCTTTGTGAATGTCTTTGTGAGTCAGTCATTTGGGTCCTATCTCTCTTCACTCCACAATTATGTTTCAAAATGTAGTTATAAAATATTCAATACTTTTATTGCAATTAAATGTATTCCCCACTGCTGTGTAATCTATGTTGATAATGACGGACCTGTGACCAGAACAGCAGATGTGTGCCCAGTGTTCCACTCTCATAGAGCACCATTTTCAAAAATCAAATGTTGTTTGAAACAGATACTGGTGATTTTAAAAATATAAACAACTTTTAATTCATAGTACTATTTATCTGATGCCGCTATATCAGATAAATAGTTTATTTTTCATCATCTTCTATCTAAATCACCAGGAAAATGATCAAAAAACATTATCTTTTTGTATTTGGTTATTCCTGCACCCAAGAGGGCAGCAGAATATAGCTGTTAAGGGGAAACAAATAGCAATGATAATTTTTATGTAAAGAACGTATAAGTCATTGGGTGTGGTTGCTGCCTGTTATCACATCCAGTATGGCAGAGTTCTTCCCTCTAAAGTCTAACCTGTTGCTGGCTTCAGACAAGTGTTTTTTAAACATCTCTAAGTCCTGTAAGTCGTGAACCATTTGAGTCTGCGCTTTTCAGTGATATTAAGGTCATTACGGTAATCCCAGGCACAGGGTGGCAGAAGCCTCGGGAAGACCAAATTGAGAGAAGAGAGTGTGTGAGCGTGATGCAGCTCTACAGAAGTCGTGAAAAGGAAATGACCATCTCTGGATCGAGAAGGGCCCAAGAGTACATCGTTCACAATCTTACAATACTGCGATTACAGCTATTAAGCAACTCTATGTGAATGGTATTCATGGCCATTATTCAATGGGCTTTGATCAATGGTTGTTGATCAATTGCCATGACAGTTTGCATATTAATGATCAAGTAACTTACCTCATGGCCCATTGTTCATTCAGTGGGCTTGTTTCACTCATTGTGCAAATGTATTGTTTATAAGATTGCCCACAGTTAGCTGAGACTGAAGAAGTCACTTGGATGAGTGACGAAACGTTTTTCCCACTGAAAACGCTACGTCCAGATGAGCAGAATCAACATTTTGCTTTATAGAAAACTGACATTCTTTTTGCTGTTTGCTGTGCTTTTTTTTTTTTTTTTTTGCCAAGATTTGGATATAACGGCTTGCCTGTGATTGCCGTGATGACCCTAATATCACTGAAAAGCACAGTGTTGCTGCTTTCAGGAAGTGGAATTTTGCGATCGCACCAATGGTCCAAGAATGATAGCAGTTTGGCCTAAGAGTTTGACAAAAAACATAATTAGTATAATATTACTTTAAAGATCACCACTAATTAATATTAATAGTATATTAATATAGAGATCTAGAGTCCTTCCTTTCCTCCTCCATACTTTTGTTTTCCCATCTTTATTGTAAAAGTTAATTGATTCAATCTCCAAAGAATTCCTCACCAGAACTGTGCAGGGTATTTTAGCTATTTTCAAGCACAATGTAATCTGGATTGAAAAGTTCAACTTCAGTCATTTTATGCTTAATTTGCCATTGAAAGGCAATGGAACAGATCTCATCTCACCATGAAACTGCCTGTCCCTAAATTTTTCCAATTACTTTTAAACTTCTGAAAATAGTTATGGTCAATAGTTTTGTCAGTTAAAGCTGGAAGTCTGCACTTTATTCACACCTTAAGCTTTGGGCAAAATTGCAAAAAAAAGAAAGAAATTTGGCACTGTATGAGCTAAAGAGCACATCCCTATGGTGTTTTTTTTTGTTTTTTTTTTGTTTTTAAGATTTTGGTCAAGTATAAAAAAATATAAAAAAATTCTAGAAACATTTTCACCAAGAGATAGCGATTTAAAGTGGGATATTGTGTTCAATTGTTTGACACTGAGCACAAAGATGATCATTACATGACCAAAGACTGTGCAGTTATGCAGGTTTTTTTGCATTTCAAAATACCATGTGATAGTCTATTTTTTCTTTTCCTTCCTGTTTTGCATAAGCAAGACAAAGTAATCCAGCTGGTATATAAAGAGATGAGTAAACAAACAGAGATCATTTCTTGTAGGCTTTATACCACTTACTTTCCAAAAGTTGAAGAGTTGAATTCCATTTCAATCAGAAAGGTATGTAATGTTGAATATGTTATCATTTTCTTACTTTACTTTGAACTAGCTGCTCAAAAACAACAATTTATAATTTCTTTGGTTCTTGTCTCTAGGATGAAGTGCACCATGCTGTTCCTTGTGCTGTCGATGGTTGTCCTCATGGCTGAACCTGGGGAGGCCTTTGTTCACCATATTATCAATGGACTTTTTAGCGGTAATTCTGTTGATATTTTGACAATAATCATCTTGGCATGTGTAATTACTGTAATACTAATAACATACCCAGAAAAATTAAATTAACATTAAATACTGTAATGTTTGATTAAATTCTCAGTACTATGTTTAGCAGTTTCTTTGATTGGGGTTTCTATATAATTCATAAGATTATTATTAGGGACAGGAAGAATTTGATTTAATTGATTCTGATTCCATTATCAATATCACTTATCGATTCGATACCTTATCGATTCCCTTATCGATTCTCAATGGCTCATTGCCACCACAATCTCTAAGCAGCATATCAAAGATATTACATTCATACAAATCAGTTACATCCTGTATGGTCATGCTTGTGAATGTTGGTTGTATTTCCCCTCTTTGTTGTGATCAGTATTGTATGTGTCAGCATTACTCAAAAACGTTAAAGTAAAAAGTTATTAAACAGAACAATTTTCTTAACAGTACATTATTTAATTACACCCAGGAGAAAGACATTTGTTATACTACTCATCACTTTTTAGTTACTCTGTAAAATGATCGGAAACACAACGTCTCATATTTACCAAATAACAATATAAACCTACAGGGTAAAGCCCCACACACCAACAAAAATCCCTATCCTAATGAGGACACACATATATTTCTCTTAGTATTTAGCCGATAACACAAATCAAAGATGAAAACCAGAACAAAGAGACTTCAAAGCGATCATCACAGTGAATCTGCTGTCAAAATAGGAGGTTACAGAATGACTGCTCTGTTGAAGTTCAGCGGCGACTGACTTCACTGCTAATGACAGCTCACTTCATGACAGTGCTGGGCTGGGGTTTGCATTACTCAGCTTAAACATCACTGAGTTTTTGGCTAGTTTAGCATTAGCATGTTGTCTCTGCGAGTGCTTGCGAAGAACCGAAGTTGTGCTAACAGTATAATGGAGTTGTTTCTGTCCTGGAGCAGTCTCCACTTTACCATTGCTCATTTATCGTTTTGTGCAACAAAAATAAAAGAAATATTCCATGTCCACGCTGTAGACTGCGCCACTAATTTCATTCTCCGACACACAAACTGAAATCAGCTGATTGTAGCAAGAGTCCAATAATCGATAAGCCGGATTGACAGAAAGGCAAACTAACAATTGCATGCAATTGGACTACTGGATCCAGTGCTCGATTCCCATCCCTATTTACTATACATATTAACACATACATATATTTTTTGACTTTTCAGATTTGGACAACATATATAGACACTTGGGACTTCAGTCAGAATGACTACCAATCTCTTATCAGATCAGGCTTAAAAAATGAAATGTGGGTTCCAGCATTTCTGAAACTGATCCATGAAAAAGTGCCTAAAATTGTGGCTACCGCTGTCTCATTTATTTCATTTCAAAATCTTTAAGGAGTGCCAGAGATTTGTGGAATTGCAATACTTTAATACAGTACTACATATATTTACTTATAGCGAGCCTCGTCAAAGTCAGCTGTTAGCAAAAAAAAAGGTTTTATATTTGATCATGGTATTAAATACCAATACACAGACCTAATTTTGTATATGTAAAATGTTCACCACAAAATGTGAATTATAATGTATGGAATTCATGCTACAATATTTTTTATCTCTTTTCTTTTTTATTCAGTTGGCAGAAATATCCACAGGTAAGAACTTACTTCTACAAGTCTTGCAAATCCTTGACAATTACTCTTGTTGTATCTAGTTCTTAACTGTCAATTCTCTCTCTCTGACTAAAAGACTCATCCACGGAGGGCATAACAAACAGCAACAACAGCAGCAAGAGCAGCTAAGCCAACGCTCTTTTAAACGAGAACAGTTCGAACGGGAAAGGGCTGCTTTTAACTAGACTTCACCCTGAAAGACCAAGTCTAAAATGTTTAATTTTTGTTAAAAAGAAATGCTTTCTGTGCTGGTTTAGCTCAGTGGAATGAGCAGGTGACCATATGCCGCATAGCTGAGAGCGGCCGGCCAGGGTTCAAGTCCGACCCTTTGCTGCATATCTTCCCCTCTCTCCCCCAGCTTTCCTGTCAGCATTCACTGTCTCTATCTAATAAAAGCCAAAAATAAATTTGAAAAAGAAATGCTTTCTGTTCTTCTGGGAAAAGAAAAAAAGACCTGCTTGGGCAGAGACAGTTGTTTTGAATACATCTTCAATAAACTGAAATCTCTGGCAACACTTGTGATGTGTCAAACAATTTACTGCTTGAACAAAACAAAACATTTAACAAGTAATGCTAAATAAAAGAGTAAATCTTGATGAACAAAAACATTTGTCCTTTGTCCTACCTAAATTATAAATCTGTATGGATCATTATTGTAATAACGTGAATTGTTGCTCTGACTTTCATGTAGTCATAGCAACTCATTATCCTTTTGTCATATATTTTTGCTGTTAATTAGCAACTTGAACTGTACAAACTATTATATACATTAAAGTAGTGAAAGGGTTAGATATGCAACAGCAAAGGCAAACACATCTTACCTACTGTTATTCTTAAACTGTGTTTTGGGAAAAA